GGAAGAGGAGGGAGAAACTGATTCATTTTCCTTTTTTTCTCTGAAAAAATGGTGATTGGTGTGAACAGGACTTAATCATCCAGGGTTTCTCTTCCTTTAGTAAAGCAGTCATTATTCCACTTCCTTAAAAAAACGTTTAACTCTTTTAATGTGGGGACAGAAGTGTTGCTGCTCTTCACTGCGTTTCCTCAGTTCCTCTCCCGTACAGAGTAATTACACCCATTAAAACGGTTGTTTTGACGTGCTGAAAAATTAGTGTGTAATTCTTTGATTAGTAAAAATTGTCATCATTATTTTACCATTTTACTACCAGTTAACAGTTTAACAGTTAAGAGATATTCACACAGCGGCATTTTTACGGATCAGAAAACGGAAAAAAAAATAACGTCGTCTTTCACACAGAGTCCAAACAGACAGACGTATATTTTTAATTAGACTGTGCTCAGTAGTGTCCATCTGCAGAGCTGCAGCGCCGCAGCTTTAGTCCCCCACACTTTTAGAAACAAATTTTAATTTTCACAAATATTAACCCCATAACACGGAACTCATAATCTGCCTTTCGACCAATAAGAAGCAACCAAATGTGACATCACAACTGCAACTAACTGACCAGCTGGCACACTATAGCTGTGTTCCAAAGTCTAGGCTGCAGCTGATGTAGGGTGGTCCACGGTAGGACTGTCTAATAAAGACTCCTCCTTAGTAGCCTATTGGTCACACAAACAAAACAGTCCTAACGAGGCTGCATGGTGACGCCACCAGAGCGGCGCCAAACTCACGAGGGAGCTGGTGAGAGAAAATGGAGCCGCTACATTGAGTTTGTTGCCTTTCCATTTTACGGAAATGGAGGAGATGATCTTATGTAGTATGATAAACTACATACATACAAATACTTCTAAATAAAATACGATATATGGACGAATTCTTCACGTCATTTGTTCACAGCAAACTGTGGGTAACCGAAGGGCTGAAAGGAAACATCTGATGTGTCCTTCAAATCACCCAGCATTTCTAGGCTGTATACGAAGGATCCTTCACTTTGGAACAGCCTTCTATAATGTAGCGGCCGAGAAACGCAGCCAACCTACCACAACATTTTATGTCCATTTTACCATCTTGGCTGTAAATATGTCTCAGTATGTGCTGATGTCCTACTATAGACTAAAAATATAAACAAAACACAGACTGACTTTGCTCTGCTTTAAGCTTTAGCTCAGCTATAGCTGCTTTTCTCGCATCTCCAGCAGGAAACTTTTCCAAAAGTGAAGCAGTTTATTCTAAAATGTCTCTCAAGATTCGATTTTTCATGAGACTGAAGTCGCTTCTCATTCGCCAACTTCTTGTTCTAATTTTCCTGTTCCACCTTAAACGGCCGGAAGCTAACTGCTGCACCGTTTAAGGTGGAACGTGAGAATTCGAATGAGAAACTGACTTCAGCCTCATGACTTTTTAGTGTTGGTCAGTTTCTCTCTGCAGATTAAACGTATCAGGAAACCAGCTGGAGTGATTATGAACACAAACAAGTCCATTTCGTCTCTAAATTATCGATGTTCGTCTTAAATCTCTCCCTTTGCCGTTTCGTTAGCTACTAGCTAGGCGAGACTGTTGTCTGGGTTGCTATGGTGACCAGCAGTCTGCGCTGATCTTCAGGGTTAAAGGGTGAATTAGCAGTTCTACATTAACTCCAGAGTTTAAGCAGAGCTTTATTTTACTGTAAAGGAGGATTATTTTATTTTTACCTACAAATCTGATTCTACTGTGGAGCCACAACAGGACAGTAAAAGAGCCGCATTGCACTATGTTAAAAAAAATCACCTCTTTTTTTTTAGAAAATACCACTTGTTACCGTAAGATCACCGTGTCATTACTGATCTGTGCAGTGCCACTGCTTTTCCTCCTCCAGGAACGTTACTGTTTGGACGTCTGTACTGCTTTTATGTTTCCTTCTGTTATGTATTTCAGGTTTAGGGAGATTTTCTATTTCCTTTATTTTTGGGGGGGTGTTGGGTGGTGTTTTGCTTGCCGGCCCTCCAGGGTGCATGTTTCTGTCATGAGGGAGAGTCGGCTGCTCGGCCGGCACGTCGTGTTCCAGAATGCCAGCACGGCCAGACAGCTTCAATGACATTCATTTGTACTGATGCTATTAGAGAGAAATGTCATCCGAAGGGAAGCAGGCAGAGCAGGTCACCGCGCAGAGCCGCGCTCTCCACGCCGAACCGCGGCCGTAACATCTGCTCCACACCGACACTTAAAGAGACCATATTCTACTTTAACGTTCCGATGGCCTTGTATGCCTCGGGCGCTCGCGGATCAGTTTTAACTGAACTGAACTGAAGGGCGTCAGATGTAAATATAGTCAAGATTTTGACATCTCAACCATGATGGGTTCCATGTTTTTGCTGCTTATTTTTTAAACATGAACTGGAGAGTTTTTACAGTGAAACTCCTTGATTTTTTAGAAACAAAAAGAAAGTTCAGTTCTGCATGATATGGGCTCTTTAAGCCGAAGCAAATGTATTTGTCATATCTGTAACGTTTATTCATTATTAGCAACAAATGCAGGATGTTAAATCTCTCATAAAACTATGCAGTGTGTTATAGTACTGATGCTGATATTACGGTGTGTAACCGTAATGATGTAATGTGTAACAGTAATGATGTTGTGTGTTGTGGCAGTGATGCAGTGTGCTACAGTACTGATGCTAATATTATGGTATGTAACCGTAATGATGCGATGTGTAACAGTAATGATGCATGTGTAGTAGCACTGATGCAGTAACAGTCATGACGCACTGTATACAGGATTAATGCAGTGTGTAATAGTAATGATGCAGTGTGTAAATGTAATTATGCCAAGTGTACCTGCAATGATGCTGTGTGTAGCAGCAATGATGCAGTGTGCTGTAGTACTGATGCTAATGCTACTGCTAGAGTGTGTAACCATAATGATGTGATGTGTAACAGTAATGATGTCTGTGTAGTAGCAGTGATGCAGTAGTAGTCATGACACAGTGTGTAACAGGATTAATGCAGAGTGTAACAGTAATAATGCAGAGTGAAATAGTAATGATGCCAAGTGTAACAGAAATGATGCAGTGTGCTACAGTACTGATGCTAATGCTAATGCTACAGTATGTAACTGTAATGATACAGCATGTAACAGTAATGATGCATGTGTTGTAGCAGTGATGCAGTACTGTGTACAGGATTAATGCAGCGTGTAATAGTAATGATTTAGAGTGTAACAGCAATGATGTCATGTGTAACAGCAGTGATGCCGTGTGTAGCTGCAATGATGCAGTGTGCTACAGTACTGATGCTAATGCTAATGCCACGGTATAAAACATCAGTGCTGCAATGTGTAAAACTAATGATGCAGTGTGTAACAGTAATGACACAGTGTGTTACAGTAACAGTGCAATGTAATGCTAGTGATGCAGTATTTAAAAGCAACATTACAGTGTGCTACGGTACTGAGGCTGTGTGTAACAATAATGCAGCAGTGTGTAACAGTAATGATACAGTGATTTACAGTCGGGGTGTAACGATACACAGGTTTCATGATACAGTACATTCTGTCGTTTTTGCGTCATGAGATGATATATTTTCAATGTAGAATTTGAAAAGAAATGCTTAAACGTACTTTTGCGTTCATCTGTTTTTTGGTAACAATAAATAAAGAATATAAACAAAATACAGTTTCTACATGAACGTCAACAAAACACTGAGGCTACATCTCAGTTTTAAATTAACTGATAATTTGTGTGTTGTGACAACCCTAGTTTACAGTAGTGATGTATTATGAAACGTACGTAACAGTAATGATACAGTCTGTAAAAGTAATGGTGAAGTGTGTAACAGTAATGATGCAGTGTGTATCAGTTATGATGCAATGTGTAACAGTAAAAATGCAGCATGTAATAATGATGCAGCAGTGTAACAGTAATAATGTATTGTCTATTAGTAATGGAACAGTGCGTAACAGTATGTTACAATGTTGCAGTGTGTTTTAGTAATGAGGTAGTGTGTAACAGTAATGGTGTTGTGTGTAACAGTAATGATGCAGTGTGTATCAGCAATGATGCAATGTGTAACAGTGGTATTACTGTGTAACAATCATGCTGCATTGTGGTAACAGTAGTACTTCTGTGTTTAACAATAATGGTGCAGTGTGTAACAGAACTGGTGCAGTGTGTAACAGTATTGAGGCAGATTTAACAGCAGTGATGCAGTGTGTAATAGTAATGTTGCAGTGTGTGTAATAGTAATGATACAGACATAATAGCAGTGATGCAGTTTGTATCAGTAATGATGCATTATCTAACAGTAACGTTGCAGTGCGTAATAGTAAGGATGCAGTGTGTAACAGTAATGATGCTGTACATAACAGTAATGGTGCAGTGTGTGTAATAGTAATGATACAGATGTAACAGCAGTGATGCAGCGTGTTACAGTAATAATTCAATGTGTAACAGTGAGGATGTAGTATGTAACAGTAGTATTACTGAGTGTAGCAATTATGCTGCAGTGTGGTAGCACTAGTACTGCTGTATATAACAGTAATGATGCAGTGGTAGTGATGCAGTGCGTAATGATGCAGTACTTTTTTGAACTGACATATTGTGAAACATGGAGTGTGTAACAGTGATTATCCAGTGTGTGACCATAGTGCAGTAATGTGCAACAGTAGCACTGCAGTGTGTAACACAAATGACACAGTGTGTTTAAGTAATAATGCAGTGCATAACGGTAATGTGCAGTGTGTAACAGTAACATACTGCCGTGTTACAGTAATGATGCATGATCAAGATTTCTGCAGTGTGAACAGTAATAACGCAGCACATCAATGCAATTGCAGTGTATAACAGTAGTGATAGTGTTACATTAATGATGCGCTGCAGTGTTCGCAACTTAGCATGAAGCTAGTCTGCAAGTCTTTATGTCTTTCATTAAAAAACAATTAAAAATGAACTAATGTCTCTTTTTTGTGTCTCTTACAGGAATCCTCATACTCATTTGCACTGAAATGCCTTATCAGCCTTTCCACTCTAATTCTCCTCGGTCTGATTATTATGTATCATGCACGAGAAATTCAGGTAAGTGGCCGAGTCAGCTCTGGAGGCAATTAGAGGGAGAGAGAGAGGGAGAGAGACGGAGGGAGGGAGGGAGAAGTTTAATAGATTACACTACTGGCTCTTATGCCAAATCCTAATGACTTGAAGTATCACCATAAATAAATGTAGTGGCTGTTGTAGCTCCTGACGCTGGTATGCGGTGTCACTGCCACTCTGCTAAACCATTAAGCTCCTTATACAGAAAGCAGAGAGTTTGATGTATAATGTCATTGTACCTAGAGCTAATAGGAATTAGCTGATGGCTAATAGAAGGCGTAATGCAATAAAGGTCTGCCAGTCATTGGCGTCTGAGCATTATTTAATAGCTGGCAATGCCATTTGTAAGCATGTCCACTAAACAGATGGTAAACCTTATTCCTAGCTTTATTCCCTGATTACGTATTTGGTTGGTGTACATAGAAATAATCTCAAACAGTGTCAAAGGGCAACACTGAAACACTTGCTTTTGTTCACTGCAAAAAATGGTCTCTTGTCAAGTGAAATGATCTTAGATCTAGCTGATGTATCTAATATTTCCCATTTTGAGAAGGTTGTGCCTTATTATTGTAATTATTAATCGTATAATAAGTGATACGATTATTTTTATTACTTATTATAAGATTATTTCTAGACATTATTTACTTTTTTTGATATTTTTATCATAGTAAATTTATCTCACTATACTGGCAGATAATTTTTTGGTTTCAAGCTCATATCTGCCAACGTAGTGAGATAATTTTACTTAATAAAATTACTTAAAACGAGTAAAAATGTTTCGAAATAAGTTAAATAATCTTAAATTAATCTTACAACCATCTCAACATGAGAAATATTAGATTTCTTGACTATATTTAAGATGATTGCACCTGACAAGACACCATTTTTTGCAGTGTAAGAAAACTGCAAAAGTGCCCTGTAAAAAATATCTTACAAACTGAAAACATCTTCAGTCTAGTTCATATATCTCAAATTTGTCATTTTGAGATTGTTGTCAAAATATTATTGAACTCTAGACATTCTAGACATTTTTACTTGTTTAAGGTCATTTTATCTGGTGAAAGTGTTTCCAACATTATTTCTCAAAAAAATTGAAATGACCTGTTGATGGATTAAGACACTTTCACCGGATCAAATAGTTCACCAATCTAACAATATTCTTACTACAACCCCATAATGAGAAATATGAGATATACTGACTACTTTTAAAATTTCACTTGCTGAGATCATTTTTACAGTGTGAGATCAGCTATCATTTATTTGTTCTGCTTTTAAGTAAATAAAAATTGTATTTATTTTTAAAGAAGAATGAGTCTGTTTGCTATGATCTGTGACTGCTTTCATTTTTGACTGCACAGCCTAAATAACTGAGAGCTAAAACTATTAAATTCAGTTTTAAATAATCAGTTAAAATGGCCTTTTTGTCTGAAAGCGTGGGTGATATGACAGAGAGATAGCATTGCAACTTTAAAGCATCTTCGATACTCGTTGTTTTTCTGAGGTTTGATCATTTGGAAGAGACAAAAAACAGCCAGCAGTGCTACATTTACTATAAAAATACTATAAAAAACTATGAAGACAGTGAATCTATACAATTAAACAGGACTAATTAAGCTCCCGTTGCAGTCAGTCAGTTTTTAGGTACTGATGTTGTCCATGATACACTCAGAAAATAATATTTTGTGACATTATATAACAATTTCTCTTAATAAAATGAAATATAGTTATATTACTCTCCCCTAATGTAAATATAGTGCTTGTATATGAATGTGCAGCGTAAAGAAAAACTTTACACTTTACACTCAATCTCATATATGAAAGTGTGCATTTCATACACTGCAAAAAATGATCTCTTAGCAAATGAAATCATCTTAAATCTAGTTAATAAATCTAATGTTTCTCATTATCAAATTGAATCATATAGAATATTATAAGATTACTGAATTATTTCTAGACATTTTTTACTTGTTTTAAGTCAGTTTATCTAATGAAAGTGTCTCATTCCTTTGGCAGATCATTTTCCTTGTTTTGAGAAATGAAGCAAATCATTTTGCTTATTTTAAGAAATGTTTAAAACAAGTAAAATAATCTGCCAATGAAATAACTTTAATTAGATACAATGACTTAAAACAAGCAAAAATGTCTAGAAATAAGAGTGATAATCTTATAATATTCTTGCAACCTCATAATGAGAAATATGAGATATACTGATTAGATTTGAGATCATTTCACTTGTGTAAAGTTACTGTCTGAACTGATGTAGTTATGATCTTTATCTGTCAGTTAAGTCACTCTTTAAGTGAGCTCTTAATGCCTTTTAAGTGATAGTTTGGTGAAAAATCTTATGCATACAGTTTAATCAGTTTTGTTTGGTGTGTGAAGTTCACTTCTTGAGTTTTAGCGCTGGAGCTTCGAGGCTGATGTAATAGAAGCGTATATCAAACTGTGTAGCTAAGGGATCTCTAATAGACTTGCTAATGCCATTTCTGTACTGGTGAAAAGGTAAAATCATCTAAAATGGTGTAAAAATATCTAATCTTTATCATTTTGAGGTTGTCATAAAAATAATGGACGTAATTCTTGACATTTTTTACTAGTTTTAAGTAGTTTATCTTTAAAACAAGCAAAAATGCATTTGTTCCATCCGCAAAGTATTTTGCTTGTTTAAAAATATTTCTTGAAAAAAAGCAAAGTTATCTGCCAGTAAAATAAGACACTTTGACTGAAAATGTTGCTGAATGTAAGATTAAAATGACAGAAATAGGTTCAATTTTTATTTCTCGTATTATTCTTATAATTACAGCAATTTCAAAATAAGAAATGTTCCATATTTCCACCTGATTTAAGATGATTAGACTTGCCAAACTGTAATTTATTGCAGTGTAACGCTATGTGACATACAGACGTATGCAAAAGTTTGTGTGCTCCAGGTCAGATTCCACGTTTTTGTTGTTTTTCTAAGTGAAAATAAGTCAACACCAGAGAATACATTTAATGCACAGTTACTGTGTATTTACTGAATGCAATATGTTGAAAAGAAAACATAGTTGTTTTTGCCTGTGCAAAAGTTATGGCACAATTAACATTGTGTATTTTATTTTTTCCAATATGTTAATGTCAGCAAAATAAACAAATATAGAAGTTTTGCAGTGCAAATTGCAGAAAGTGGCATATTTAAGTTCCTTGTAGAGGACAACAAATTATAGAAGCTTATAGCAACCAGATACCATAACCTCAAACTGTGTCAATCATAAAACTAGTAAAAATATTGAATATTTGGTTCTCTGTAGAGCACATCCTCACTTATTTTCATGTGGAAAATCAAGAAAACATGCTATTTGATCAACTTTGGACACAGATATCGACAAAATTCAGGCTTTAAGGTGGCTGCTACTATTTTTTTCCTTTGTTTATCATATTAGCCTCATAGCTCCAGTGAAAAACTATTGAAGTGGACTTAAGTGGGCACTTAAAATGTGTTTACATCGTCTCTGTCCAAAGAAAAACATGCATCTCTATTTTTGTCAGTTTTTTATTGTTCTTTATGATTTGAACGTGTAATAATTTTATGATGAATGTTCCAAAATCATTTGGAATAAAACATTTTACTGTAGGGTGCTGTTCATAAGGCTACATGACGCCTACATAAGCCTGACATGACAGCTGACATAACCCTACATAACTGTTTATAAATGCTTATTCCAGTAGGCGTCATCTGTCATAAAGGCTGCTTCAGCTAACTGTGGTCACAATTGGCAGAGGTAACCTTTATGGCGAGTGACACCTGTTGGAATAGTCATTTCAAAAGAGTTATGTAGGGTTAGGTCGGCTTATGTAGGCGTCATGTAGCCTTATGAACAGCTTACTACAGTAACATGCTACCTAATAAAACCTCTTACGTTTATTTACATTAAAAGTTAAGACTGTTTTTGACTTCTTCCTTAAAGTTACCATTTTGGAGATCCTTGTTTTTTTGGGCAGTGACGATATACAGTAATTCAGATGATCTGCTAAGTGAATGTGGGTGGGTGCGGTGGCCGGCCTGGTGGTCCATCTCCTGTGCATGTCTTTTCTCAGCTGTTCATGGTGGATAACGGAGCGGACGACTGGCGGATAGCCATGACCTACGAGCGGATCCTGTTCATCGTCCTGGAGCTGCTGGTGTGCGCCATCCACCCCATCCCGGGACACTACGTCTTCACGTGGACGGCGCGGCTGGCCTTCACTTACGCGCCCTCGGTGGCGGACGCGGACGTGGACATCATCCTGTCCATCCCCATGTTCCTGCGGCTCTACCTGATCGGCCGCGTCATGCTGCTGCACAGCAAGCTGTTCACGGACGCTTCGTCGCGCAGCATCGGCGCCCTCAACAAGATCAACTTCAACACGCGCTTCGTCATGAAGACCCTGATGACCATCTGCCCAGGGCACCGTCCTGCTGGTCTTCAGCATCTCCTCCTGGATCATAGCAGCCTGGACGGTGCGCGTGTGCGAAAGGTGAGGTGGGCCGCGGGCGGTTCCGAACCCTGCCGTGTCCACGGGGGCCGGACGCGTAGGTTTTTTTTAACTGTTCGTATTTTTACGGTTCGCGTTGTTCATTGTTGTGTTTTTTGCCCCCCCCTCCCCCTACCCCTCCCACCCCCCACCCTACATTGCTGCTGGATAGGGGTCCAAAGTGAGTCTGTGTGTTTTTTTGGGTTTTTTTTCTTTTTCTTCATCCGTGCAAAAGTGGAAAGCTGTCAAATTTGGCCCATGACCTTTACCGAGCTTCGTCTCAGCCTGTCCGGATGGGTCGCGGTGGTCCATTCTGCGGGAACAGCAATCATGCATTTCTTCCCCAGTGCATTGCATTGCTGACATGCTGGAGATCCCAAAGTCTTGAATGAATCATTTACGTTTAATTTTTTCGGTCAGTTATTATTATTTTTATTAATTTATTTCTATATTTATTTATTTGTTTGTTTATTTATTAAGTTCCTTGTGCTGGTCTGTGTTAAGAGCGCTCCAAAAGTTACGCTAATCTCCATATTGTCTGTTATTATTTGGATTTTGGGATTTTCACTTATTTGTCTTCATGTTCATGGTATTGTCTTTTTTTGGTTTTCCCCGAGGCCCTTTGTTTTTGTTTTTATTTGTTTGACCTTTTGACCTGTGCTGACTTGCTATTGTGGCCAGGGGAATACATTTGGCCCATATCTCGGGGGAAGGTGAAGGCCCGGCAGGCTACCGCGTGTAGCTTATCCGTAGCCCAAGGTGGAAGAGAGCGCTGAAGCTAACACAATCGGGTCACCCGAAGCCTTGTGGCTGATCTCTGCACACGTTTCCCTTCTCTTTTCCCCAGATTATGATCCAAACCACCTGCTCTCCTCACCCACCATTCCATACCATTCAGCTGGCTGCCGTAAGGTGTAAGGGGTTTGGTTGTTAGCTAGCATGAAGTATTCCCCTCACGGAGAGCCATGTTTCTGTATGACCTGACTGAACACTTGGGCCTATGAATTTGTTTTTGTTGTGCCTTTTACTTTTGAAATGTATTTATGTACTTATTTTTGCTTTAGTTGTGTTTATTCAATGCAGTTTCGTTATATAAGCTAATCACATTTGTGTTTATGCGAGATATTATGTAATTAGTGCATCTTAGGTAGGAGAGCGCTAGCACACTGTCCAGACACGTTTTATGCTAGTTAGCCAAGCTGACGGACTTACAGGTGTGCCAACTAGGCAAGCTGATGTGCTTAATATGAGCTAGCTGGCCAAGCTAATGTGCTTGTGGTCAATCAGATTATCTCTTATTATAACTAGGCAAGCTAATGTGCTTAATATAAGCTAACATTAGCTGCTTGGCTAGCACATACTATAAGCTAGCCAGTTAAGCTAATGTGCTTGTAATATGTGCTTAATATGCACTAGTTATTTAAGCTAATAGGTGCTTAACCTAATCTACACAGTTCTAAGTAGAGGCAGGATTGTTTTAGGTAAATTTATAGAGCAAATCCAACGTCATATCATCTCGGATAGCATCTTAAACGTATTAAAGCACCAACACATCTCTGAGTGCTGCAGTATGGCTAGCTAAGCTAATGCGCTAAGTGGCACTGTGCTCCTGGCTGTTGGAGGGACTTAAAGCTGCTATGTCAGCACCTCAGAGACCTCCGGGGCATGGCGGCGTTCCCCGGGCGAGGGCCAGAACGCCAAACGTTACGTCCCTGCCTTAAATCACGGGTCGGCAGGCCAGTACAGGCCTCTACTAATAGCACTCCAGTTAATGACTCCTCTGTTAAATTCACGGGCAGAGAAGCGGGACACTTGCTGATTGATTAATAGGCTCATAAATGCGCCGTACAGTACGGTGCTGCCGTCAGCACACGAGGCTGGGCGGCGCTCGCACAGTGTAGAAGTCTTCCAACGGCGTATGAACCATTTGACGTTGCATACTAATCCTGTACGGCGCATGTTTAAATATTTGAATTCGTAAACTCTAATCATAGTACGCTTTACAGGGACGTGGGTGGTCAGGGTGCTGTGGGGGCTTCAGCCTTCTCAGATTTCAGGATTGCATCTGAAAATAATAATAATAATAATAATAATAATAATGTATTATTATTTATTAATAATTATTAATTTATGAAATTAAAATGTATTAATTTATTTGTTTATTTAATTAATTAAAGTAAACTATGCAGGAACACTCAAAGAACCCTTTGCATGGTGAAATGGATCTTCAGATTGATGGAGAATGTGCTATAGATGGTTCTATATAGCATCAAAAAAGGTTCTTCTGTCGTAACAAGCATGATATTGTAACAATAGCAGAACCCTGTTTGGTGTTGTATTGAACCTTATACAGCACATTCTCCATCAATCTGAAGATCCATTTCACCATATGAAGAACCATTTAATCATGTAAAGGGTTCTTTGAGTGTTCATGGTTCCATATAGAACCATTTTCTTTACTAAAGAAGCCTTGAAGAACCATCATTTTTAAGGGTGTAGAAAATCATCCTACATTTCTTATATAAAATACAAAATAATGTAGGATATCAGTCCTTTCACTGCAAAAAAATGGTGTCTTGTCAAGTGAAATTATCTTATAGTATATATTATCAATAAATATTTCTCCTGTTGAGATTGTTTGAAGCTTATTTTAAGATTATTAACTTCGCATAATCGCATAAAATCTTCACCTCAGACTTCAAAAACCGTATCAAACTGAACGTATGAGTATCGTTACACCCCTGCTGTCCAGTGAAAGTGCGCCTCGGTAGCCGGTTCGGCCCGTCTGATCCTGCAGTTCTCTGTGCGGAGTGTTATCTGAGTTAATGATGTAGACTTGGTGATGCTGCCAGCTCGGCTGTATAGTCAGCTTTATGCTTGTGTAATGGGCTGCGTCTCTCACAGTGGTTCTACAGCAACTCGTCCTCTGTAGATGGACACGCGCTCGTCCCTCAGAGCGCCACGCTGCGAACGCCACTCCCTTTAAAAACGATCTGCACCCAGTCAGTCCGGTCAGGCCTGGGTGTCCTTACGTGCAGCTTTTGATGCTTATTCACTGCTAAAAATGATCAAAACACATGAAAACAACTCAAATCTCACCAATATATCTAATATTTTTCTGTATAAGATTGTATTAGCACGAATATAAGACTATTTAACCTGTTTCTGTCCATTTCTTAGTCACTTTGTGTAGTGAAAGTGTCTTATGAAGCAAAAAATGTGCAAAGTTGATCACTGTAATGATCATCTTACTGGAGAAAACGATCCATCCTCTAGAACTCGAACAGAAGGTAGCAGCACGGATCCTCACAGCACCAACACAGAGAGCTCAAATCACCCTGTTTACACTGCAAAAATTATATCTCAGCAAGTGAAAACATCTTAAATCTACCTGATTTATCTGATATTTCTCATTGTGACAGCATTGTAAAAATTTTATAGCAATATTTAATCTATTTGATCTGTTTTAGGCTATGGTATGTAGTGAAAGTGTTTTATTCCATTGGCAGATTTACTTGCTTCATCTGTTGTTTCTTGAAATGAGTCAAATTGTCTGCTTTAACTCCCAAAACAGGAAAGATAATCAGTTTATTTTGATCGTCCCCAGATAATTAAGTTTTTAACAAACATTCTGGTGACAGCTGCAGCACAAATAGATCTTGGCAAGTGAAAGACATTATTGTGTTGTAAGAATATTGAGATAATTGAACTTATTTCTAGACATTTTTTCTTGTTTTAAGTCATTTTATCTGGTGAAAGTGTTTTATTCCATTGGCAGATCATTTTACTTGTTTTAGGAAATAAAACAGATAATTTAGCTTATTTCAAGAAATCTGTAAATACAATCTTATGAAGATAAAATATGTTATATATTGACTCGGTTTAAGATATTTTCACTTGCTAAGATATTTTTTGCAGTGTAGAAAGAACTGCACAGAATTTAAAACCCTTTCACAAGATTTTAAAGCTTTGAAGGGGAACTCTGCTATTTTTTTCAAAATTTCTGCATAATTAAATGGTTGGGATGTGAACAGAGCAGTTTTATTTACTATCCAGAACCACCAGTGAACCTACACGAGTCTTCTGAGTCTATATGGAATGTTGATGATGGAAAATAGTGGAAAATCTGAAATAATAAGTTTTCTTTGGGGACTATTTTGCCTCACAGTGCCCTGCATGTATCCCTCCACCATGAATGGAGTTTAAGTTCTCTAAACTATCATAAAACAGTGTCTCAGTCATCAGGCAGTGAATTCATAACCATTTCATGTAGGAACTTTCTGTGAGGGAGCTTTTAGAGGTGGACGTCTGGTTCCTATCACCACCACTGTGAACAGTTCTGACTCTAAGTTTATCTAGAACAGAGCGTTTCACACCAAACCACTCTGAACCACTCTGAACCACTCTGTTCACATCTTAACCAGTTAACCAGTTAACATTTTAAAAAAATGTCCCCTCTAAAGCCTTTTAGAGCTTTAAAGTCTTGTAAAAGATTTTCAAAATCTATGCAGTTCTTTTTACGCAGCAAAAAATACCTTAGCAAGTAAAATATTTAGGTGTGTTAGTGTGTGTTGTGCTGGTCTGAGTGAATCAGACACAGCAGTGCTGCTGGAGTTTTAAACACTGTGTCCACTCACTGTCCACTCTATTAGACACTCCTACCTTGTTAGTCCACCTTGTAGATGTAAATTCAGAGACGATAGCTCATCTGCTGCTGCACAGTTTGTGTTGGTCATCCTCTAGTCCTTCATCAGTGGTCACAGGCCGCTGCCCACAGGACGCTTTTGGCTGGATGTTTTTGGTTGGTGGACTATTCTCAGTCCAGCAGTGACACTGAGGTGTTTAAAAACTCCAGCAGCACTGCTGTGTCTGATCCACTCGGACCGGCGCAACACACCACCACCACATCAGTGTCACTGCACTGCTGAGAATGACCCACCACCCAAATAGTACCTGCTCTGTGAGGGTCCATGGGGGTCCTGACCACTGAAGGACAGGGTAACAAAGTGTGCAGAGAAACAGATGGACTACAGTCTGTAACTGTAGAACTACAGAGTGAAACTATGTGGTCAGTGGAGCTGATAAAGTGGACACTGAGTGTTCTATTGCTTTACACACCAGTTAAATAAATACAGTAATAAATTAATAAACTGGGCCGTGAACGCGGCGTTTAATATGTTTTAATGTTCGCAGTTCCTTCACCAAATTATAGTTCCTTAACGAGCAGCTTGTTGCTACGTCAGAGTAACGAGCTCCGCCCACTCGCTGCACAGCCGGCAGTTCGTTCTCCAGCTCCTCACACTAAATTCCCAAACTGTCATCACCACTGAGCAGCTTTTCAGTCGGCAGCTGAGACAGAAGAACAGCTAAACAACCTGGAATCAGCCAGAAATGAACCCAACACCATTCGCCAAACGTGGAGTCTGATCTTCAGAGTCTGACCAAATCAGACTGAGCCATAAAACTGCCGCAATATCAAGTTTAGCTCAGTTTTGTCAGTTTTTGCCAGATCAGTATTAATGTTGTTTTGTTCCAGCCAGTCTGTAAAGCATCTTACAGCCCATTTAGTTTGGCGAATGGTGTTGGGTTCATTTCTGGCTGATTCCAGGTTGTTTAGCTGTTCTTCTGTCTCAGCTGCCGACTGAAAAGCTGCTCAGTGGTGATGACAGTTTGGGAATTTAGTGTCGTCTCATCTTCAGTCTGACCAAATCGGCTGTCGGTCAAATGTGATCTTAAAAGTGTCCGTTTTCTGTTTGTGGCAAAGTAAGAAGTAAAAACGTTCAAATGTCTTGAGCGTCTCCTACAGCTGACACAGTCGTTGCTTAGCGACGGCGTCTCAGCGGAGTGATACAGTGTTCGTGAAAACCGTGATGTTATGGTGAAATAACAGCACAGTTAGAACGCTGCTCAACCAATCAGCTCGCGTGGCCGAAACTAACTGTTGTATAATGTTCTGTATAGCTTCATTGCACCTATCAGCCTTGCTGGTTTGACAGGATTCATGGTTTTGAAAATCCTGACTGCTACAGCCGCTGATTTACGGGTTAATAAATACATCTGTGGTGCTTTCATCATTAGTAATACAGTAACCTGCTGCATCGCTAATGCAAAGTCCTGTAGGAACAATTCACTCAGCTAGTGGAAAAAATCAATATCCACCCTAAAGCACTGCGAAATGTACTTGCTCTTTCAAGGTAATCATCAAAAGAGTATTTTCTTAGTCTTTAAACCAGGAAATTCACTTTAGAGGCCACTGCGGCGCTGCTATAGGAGACAAGTAGGAGTGTTTACATCACATACAGCAAAGTTTACATTCACTAAACTGTTTCTGTCACTTTAACATGTAGGAAAAAAGTAAAAAGCACATAAATAGACAACAAAATACTTTTGCACAAGACTGTATGTTTGTGTCGAAGTAGTATTTTTGTGAGGGGGGGAAAGCTAACAGCTAAGGCTACAAGCTAAAAGGACAGTTTTCGCTAAATTACTGTTTCAGTAAAGGCTAGATTTGATTACGAAATGCCTAAATAGTGAGATTTAAAGTTCGAGACTGATTCTAAAGTCATTTTCCACCTCAAACAGTTTGTGAATCTACAGCAGTACAGACGTTTAGTGTTTATCCAGCTGAATCAGTTAGCATGGCAGTAAACAAGTATCATGACGCGTGTGAATATTTTTACACAGCAGATCGTTCCGAGGAGGCGTTCGTGAGAGCAGAGGAGAAAATCCATAAATCTGCTCAATCCAGTAAGATCAGCAGGATTTGTAAGGCTTATGTTAAGCCGTGTGATTGGCTAGATCAGTTTCAGGGAGACAGTAGCAGATGCTAAAAGGCTAAAAACAATGATTTGTGTACAGATTTCTGCAGCGTCTGATCCGAGCGCAGCATTCATTTACTCTCTTAAACACAGTCAGTAGTAAAGTCTGCAGATTTAATTCTCGGTGTATTTATTGCAAAAAGGGGACAAATATGCAAAGCTAGCAAGCAGCTTAGCATTTTAGTGGAAAACTAAAAGTAGACAGGCAGAATCTTTCTGACGGCATGTTTAATGCTTTTTTTTTGGTTTCTCAGACACGTCCTGATATCACCCCAGGTACGCTGCTCCTTATTAATGAAGCTGTTATGCTGTTTTTCTCTGTGTTCTCAGATATCACGATAAACAGGAGGTCACGAGTAACTTTCTGGGGGCGATGTGGTTGATCTCCATAACCTTCCTGTCCATTGGCTATGGAGACATGGTGCCGCACACCTACTGCGGGAAGGGGGTGTGTCTGCTGACCGGAATCATGGTGTGTCTACTCATAATAATAATAATAATAATCAAATCATAATAAAAGTTTCTTTATTCAGTATAAACTAAGTGTAGATTTGAATACTCTAGACATTAGAAGTATTTTATACGCTATATTCAATATTTCAATTATTTTGGGAATAACATGTTCTTAAATGATAAATACTCTAATTATTGATTAGCATTAATGATTGTCGACTTGTCTGCCTCGAGATTTGATACTACTGAAATAGCTTCATTCTGGATGTTAATTTTCTTATAACTTCATTTTGGATGTTACTTTTGGTGGAACGTTTAGTTACAATTGAAAAAAATATAATATTATTAATTATTAAGTATTTATTCATATTTAGGGAATGAAATCTGAACTTTAAATATAGACTTGTGTCAGTTTTTCAATGTATTCCCTACTTTGTCTAACTTTTTTTTTAAGTATACAGTAATATGACCGTACATATTGTTATCGTGATATTGTGATAATTTTAAATGTTTAACTGGATTTAGTGCCAAATATGAATAAAAATAACTGCGTTCACAGTTTTTGATAGTATTTTTTTAAATGTAGCATTACTGGTTCTTTTTTCTCAGTTCCAACTGATCAGACGTCTGAAAAAATAAATATCGTGACATTTCATGTTCTGTGAAAATTTTTAAAGTACCACAGTTTTTGCCATATTGCCCACCTGTAATTATTTATCTGTAGTAATTTATAATTGTTGTCAGTTCTTCTGCTAAATATTCTGTCAGAAAGCCAGTTTGTCTGAAAAGCAGCACCAAGCTGAGTGTTATGTCTGAAACGTGGTGTTGTTGTGTTTGTCCTGCAGGGAGCTGGCTGTACTGCCCTGGTGGTAGCAGTGGTGGCCAGGAAGCTGGAGTTGACCAAGGCGGAGAAACATGTTCATAACTTTATGATGGACACTCAACTCTGCAAAAGAGTGAGTCATTTTCATACACGTCCTCCTGATGATGATGAAGCACACGGTTCTCCGTGGAGCGAGAAGAATTCAGAGGAGCGGAGAACGTTATGTCAAACTGTCAGAGCCGCAGCTTAAAGCCAAACGTTGAATATGCTGATCCGCGGTGCCGAGGCGCCGGCAAACGGCCAAAATACATTTTGATGACACAATTTTGTAGATGAGAGCTGGACTGCGGGTTTCCATACCTTCAGAATTCAGAGCCACGGCGCTGCGTGTGCCGTATGCAGACGGAGTCTCGATGGCCACGGCTGTTAGAGGTTCAGCAGCAACTTGGATCCACTTGGCTAAAAAGCATTTTGGCAGACAGCACTATCCTAACTAGCGGTGTAATGATCCATCCGCATACCTGATGCATCGTTTATAACTCCTCCGGATATCAAAATCTAAATTGGAAAAAAATCAATCGTGAACCAAATCAGTTTGCCGTCAGCTCAAAAGCTGCGTTCACATTATCAGCCTCATGGCTCTTCGATTTTTTTGATCACATCTGATCTATCTTGCATGATGGTTCACATCGCTGTAGGTAAGACCCCGTTTACACCTGGTCACTTCATGTGTCTTGAGTATCAGGATTAAATCTGGAGGCCAAACCACATTAAAATGTGAGTGTAAACGCAGCAGAGACTCATTTAAAACAGATACAGATCTGATCACTCAAACCACTTTAGGAGGTGGACATTTGAGTCACATGTTATAGCAGCGTAAACACATCCGTCTCTCTAAGACACTTAACAACCAAAACTCCTCCCACTACAACCAAAACCCCTCCCACTACAACCAAAACACCTCCCACTACAGCGGAAACTCCTCCCAGTACAAGCGAAACTCCTCCTAATACAACTGAAACTCCTCCTAATACAACTGAAACTCCTCCCAGTACAACCAAAACTCCTCCCACTACAACCAAAACACTGCCCAGTACAACTGAAACTCCTTCCAGTAAGGGCGAAACTCCTCCTAATACAACCGAAACCCCTCCCAGTACAACCAAAACTTCTCCCAGTACAATCAAAACCCCTCCCAGTTCAACCAAAACTCCTCCCAGTGCAACTGAAATCCCTCCCAGTACAACTGAAACTCCTCCCAGTACAACCGAAACTCCTTCCAGTAAAACTGAAGCCCCTCCCCATGCAGTGCGTCCCTGAGCTCGTGATCCGTGTCTGTGGGGAAGGATGGTGGACGCTCCTGGTTGGGGTGAAACTAAATGCTTAATTTCCACATGAACAGACACAACTGTCCAAACACTGCAGACGAAGAGGCTGAACAGATAAACAGTTGGTGATTGGTTGCTGTGTAATGAGCAAATTTGCATTGTCTGTCCCACAGTAATCAGATTTCAGTCTGACTAATTTCAGTTTGACTACCAGGTGTAAATTCATGTGGCTAAAGTCTGATCCGGATACAATCCAGATACCAGACACAGGAAGTGAGCAGGTGTAAACGGGTCTGAGTGACTTGAATCTGTCATTAACGTGAACAAAATTGCTTCGACGACCCGCAAACATCCTAATCAATAACGTCCTAATCACCTGCGTCCTAATCAATCACGTGAATGAATTATGTGCATCATGAAAAGCAAACAAACTAACCAGCAAACCAAACCTTCACTGCAAAGACGATTAGATTTAAACAGATCTCAGCTGCTCATTAATGCCAGACCGAGGAGAAAAAGGGTCAGAAGCATCTCTTTTGCCTTTTTCCAGGCAATGTATTCAGGCTAGGTGCAGCTGCCACGGTAACGCTGACCAATAGAGCACACAGTGAAAAAAACACGACTCTTCAGCTACGTTCACATTAGCAGGCTGAAGTGGCACAAATCTGATTTTTTGCCTAATTGTGAAACAGATCTGATGTTTTCAGAGCAGTGTGAACACACAAATCTGATTTTTTCAAACCCAGCATGAGTCTCTTTGGCTACCTTCACATTACAAGCCTCATTGCTCAGATCTGATTTTTTGCTCAAATCTGATCTCTCTGACACGATGGTTCACTCTCATTTAGGTAAGTGATTCAAATCAGTCATTAATGTGACGAACCGGCGTCCTGAAATGACCCTCATGAGCTCATCCTACTCAGTAACGTCACGTGAATGAATCAAGTTCATCATCAGCACAAACTAACGAGCAGAACGAGCTTCGCTGAGAAGATCATTAACTCTGATCAGCTCTCAGCTTCATTATTAGAGCGAGACGAAGGAGAAAAAGGTGAGATGAGCTGCTTTTCCGCCATTTACAGGCTTTGACTTCTGTTCGGCGCTGCTGCCATGGTAACGCTGAATGATGGCGGAAAAAAGTACATGAATTTGGATCTGAGTGTCACATTAAGGTCGCATGGCCACGAATTGGATACGTATCCGATCTGGGACCACATATGAAAGGCTACGGCTACAGCAGGTAAAAGTGGCCCAAAGTGTGATCAGCAAAAAACACACTGAATCTGATATTTTCAATTTGAAGCGATTTGAGACGCTTTCATATGTGGTACTGAAATCCGATACGTATCCGATCTGCGGCAGTGCGACTCAGTCTGAACACCCAGATCGGAATTTATGCGGCTTTTATGTCAATCCAACCTGACATTCGTCATCATTTTGCGCTGCTGAGATTCATAAACATCTGGGCTGATGTTTCTGTACCAAAAAATTAGAAGAGACTCATCGCAGCCGCTCAGTGTTTGAAGAGATGTCTAAAGAAATGTCCGAACGCGGCCGCAGGAGAACGAGGCTGCAGCATCAAAGAACAGGTAAAAGTCTGAAAGCAGTGTTTAAAGAATCCGAGGACGCGAACCAAAGAACTGACCGCGCCCTTTTTACGGCTCGAACACATTCTGGGTGATGAGCCCAGCTGTCAGTCAGTGAAGCTTCCTGATGGCTCCTGTGATGCTGGTGAAGATGAAGCTGATCCTCCGGGAGCGACTGGCGTTCGTTGGCGGTCGTGATTGTTTACCTCTGGATGAGCCGTGAAGCTGCGTAACGCTCTGTTCTTTAGAGCATGTGGGTCAGTTTAGGAGCTGATCTGTTCAGACTGATGTCTCATACAGATCACATTTAAAAGATAATCTGAACAGCCAAACAAAAAAAATCAGATTTGGTGAGAAAATCAGATTCGGGACACTTTAACCTGCTGTGTGAACGTAGCCAGAGTGGCTCAGGTCAGATTTGAAAAGATCAGATTTGTGTGTCCACACAGCTCTAAACATCAGATGTGAGTCACATTAGGGCAAAAAATCTGATTTGTGCCACTGCAACCTGCCTTTCATATGTGGTCCTCCACTCCACATGCATCATCATTAATGTGGAGCCAGTAAACTGTGCAAAAATAACACATCTGACACTTTTTCACCTTCTTTCACATCTATACTATAATAAACAGCTGAAAGCTGATCATCTTCTCAGGAACGCTTGTTCTGCCGGTTAGTTTGTTTACTGTTCATGATTCATTTACATGACGTTGTTGATTGGGCATGCAGGTTGTTTCAGGACACCAGTGCGCTCAGATTAAAGACGAATTAGAGTCACTTAAATAACCGAGTAAATGATCATGTCAGAGAGATCGGATCTGAGCGACAAATCAGATTTGAGCAATGAGGCTTGTAATGTGAACGTAGCCATTGGCTGCATTAACATTAGCAGACTGAAGTGGCACAAGTAAATAAGTTTTTTATTACTTCCTAATTAGTAAGTTCAGTGTATAACTATACAAAACTTCACCAATCAGAACAATTCTTATGTTGTTTTTCCTCATTATACTAAATTTAGTTGTTGGACATAAATGAGTAAAATCTAATTATCATGTCTGATATTTCTAACAACACTTCTATAAGAATATTCAGCCTATTTCTAAACATTTTTACTTATTTTAAGTCTTTTTGTCTGGTGAAATCATCCTTTTCGAGTGGCAGAAATGTTTGTCAGAAGAAATAATACTTGCAATAAATCCAGTCGTCTGCCACTGGAATTTTCTCAATATAAAATGAAGTAAAATGTTTCTGGATACGTGTTGAATTGTCTTAAAATAGGCTTACAGCAGTTACATAATGGGAAATATTACATACACTGAGTAGATTTAATAGAATTTAATAGATTGTTTCACTTGGCAAGATATACATTTTTGCAGTGCAGTGCAGTTTTACAGTGGAGCTGAACGGAGCCAGCCAGGCTGCACACAACGCAATTAAAGGAAGAAGCAATAAATCCTGCCCTTCACATCTCTGTGTTAAAGAAAAGACCAGTTTGAATTTTAATAGGTCCATATTTATGTTTTGATTTATAGTTTGATGAACTCTGTGAACGTAGTTTCAAAACGTACCGTTCAGCTGCACATAGAGTCCATATTGAATTCATCATGGTTGTGATGTCATGAATAGATTTAGTAGTAGTTTAGCCCATTCAGCAGTTTAGCCCCACCCATTCAGCCTACGGCAGTTTAGTCCAACCATTCAGCTACAGCAGTTTAGCTCCACCCATTTAGCCTACAGCAGTTTAGCCCCACCCATTCAGCCTACAGCAGTTTAGCTCCATGCATTTAGCCTACAGCAGTTTAGCCCCACCCATTCAGCCAACAGCGGTTTAGCCCTGCCCATTCCTGTTGATGTAGAGTGTTGTTCCTGCAGACAGTCTATATCACAGTTGTTGGAGAGGAAGTTGCGGGAAAGCGATTAAACGTTGTGCTCTTCCTGGCTGTCAGGAAGCAAATGGATCATTGCAGCTTCCAAAGTATCCACACATCTGAAATGAGCGGCTGAGGTTAATCTTCCCCACGGCTCTGTTTATCTGGACAATACATATGCTTCTGCTTATAAAAACATCTTATAATGATAGAGTACATAAAAACAAACGTTAATGTACTGAAATGAGACACGGAGCTCTTTTTACTGGATTTATTAAATTCCCTCAATTTACTGAAGTACTGATTAGATAAACCAGGTATTGGGTTATGACTGTAATTAGTACTGGAATGCATCGAGGAGAGTTTTGGAAATAGTAAAACAAACACAAAGGCAGAAAATCACTTCAAAAAGAAGGTTCTTCAAGGGTTCTTTAGTAAAGAAAATGGTTCTATATAGAACCATGAGCATGCAAGATTAAAGGGCATTCTGAAAGGGTTCTTCAAATTGAGATTGATGGAGAATGTGTTGTATATGGTTCTAAGTAGAACCCTTTTGAAAATGTTTCTATAAAGCACCAAATTAGGTTTTGCTTTTGTTATGATGTCAAGCTTGTAACAGTATAAGAGCCCTTTTTGGTGCTATACAGGACCATCTATAGCACATTCCTCATCAATCTGAAGAACAATGTCACCATGCAAAGAACCATTTAAGCATGCAAAAGGTTCTTTGAGTGTTCATGGTTCTATATAGAACCACTTTTTACTGAAGAACCCTTGAAGAACCTTCTTTTTTGAGTGTGTATATAAATAATTTATTCAAGTCTCAGGTGCATAAAACATTTGCACAGTACTGTATACCAGTCTTAGGGCAGCCCGCATAATAATAATAATAATAATAATAATAATAAACCTTTCTTAAAGAACACTTTACAAAACTCTGAGAACAAAACAAAAACAGCCAAAGAAATCAAACATGTTTCGAAACAACAAAATATGGGACAAACAGCAGAGCGTGTTAACGGAGTGGGTGAAAAATGATCATGTAAAAAATAATTATGACATAAATCCACACAGATTGACTTTAGAGGAAGAAATGAAATACCATAATGTGGAATATGGGCCCTTTAACCCTCTGATGCTCTGAGCTCATTCTCTCTCGATCTGTTCATCTCTTCTTAAACTCTCCTTTAAAGGCTCTTCATATATCATGATCCTCATATGTTTCATATCTAAATGCTCCGTTATCTTCATCACTACTTTCCAAAACTGCTGCAGCAGCTTCAGCAGCTGTAAACTCTCTGCACGCCGTTTCACACGAGTCTCCGATGTGGACTGAATGAAGAATGAAGGGTTTCCGGCGTGATGGTCAGTCCTTAGTGATTTCCTGAGTGTCCATTGGTCAGTTTCACACAGAATGTAGACGGACACACCAATCCACCAGCTCCATACGGTGAGAGGCAGATGGCGTGTATCTCAGCCCCTCTTCATAGGCTCATAACTCCGGATGTGAGTCTCGTATGATCTCGTGATAAGATGGAATGGAAAGGGCGACTCTACAGATGATGTAGCCGTATGAGACTGAAGGCTGAAGGTGACGTTCCTGTTTACTCTGACTGAATTCGGAGGCTCAGTTACTGAGTCTGTTGTTTGTTTTTCTCCGACAGGTGAAGAACACGGCTGCTAACGTACTCAGGGAAACGTGGCTCATCTACAAACACACCAAGCTCGTGAAGAAGATCGACCACGCCAAGGTCAGAAAACATCAGCGCAAGTTTCTGCAAGCCATTCACCAGTAAGTACAGCAGAACCTTCGGTTCTCTACTGCAGAGCTGATGTGGCGCGAGTGTAGTGAGCGGACATTGGGGCTGTCACGAGTGCTCAGTTAAGCCTAAGTCTTTGATTAAAATGGAGCTTGATTGATCGGCAGTGATTAGTTTGATGGTAATGTGTATTTTAAATTCTCTCAGTGAGAAACAGAGCCTGACAGACGCCCATCTGTACGCATTTTACTACAGAGTGATTCATCACTGTTTTTAAAGTCTTCCTAGTTTAACTTAGCATTGTGTGACCTTAGAAAGGCTCTTCGTGGATTATTATTGTTCTCCTCGCTTCTCGATCCTTAGTTCTTCTCAGTGAAAGGGGAATTCCACCAATTTTCCAAACTTTTTACATAATGCAATGGCTGTAATATCTTCTGGCTTATTATATGCAATGCTGATGATGCTGAACTAGTGATAGATTTGCCTTCTCAAAACTATCTTAAAACAAAGTCTCGTATATCAGCGTATTTATAATCTAACAAGGGATCTCTTCAAGGTGGACGTCTGGTTCCATTCCCCACCACTGTGAACAATTCTGACTCTATAGATTTACTTTAAACCACTCTGAATGACTTTATTTACATACATCTTAGCTGGTTGATTAAGCAGGAATATTGGAAATATTGATGGAATTCCCCTTTAGTTGTCAAAATAACTGGTATATTACTCAGTCACTAATATAATATACAGTGACAGCCCTAGTAAATATTATTTGTCCAGACTTTGATACTTATGATAGGAACTCATGTTGACTCGGGGCACACAGCATGGTGAGGTCTCTGACTTTTGTTGGATCTTTTTAAGGGTAACTAGTGATGTAAGTTGGGACAGGGAGGCTTTAAATGGCTTAAATCATATCATTAATGGTGCTGATCAGGGGATAACATGTGTTTACCCTTTGAGTGCCCTCCCTCTGTTGAACTGGAGGCCAAAGTGTTTACTAATAAAACTCTACATGCATTTATTTACGTTAGCTACGAATGCTAAGTAGCACTGATAATGTTAAGGCTGTACTTTAAGAGCTCTATCTTTGTGTCAGTGTGCTAAAATGATGCCACCACACCAAAAACAGGCGTCTACTGCCAGTTCTCATTCACTAATGACCTACTTCCTGACTGTTTCCTGTGCTGTCCGGGTTTCTTGCTCTGGGATTCCCAGAATAGACAAAGTGAGGATATTTCAGCAGCTAAGGAGCTTTCAGAATTGCATTTGGATCCCTGGGGAAGCACATCTAGATTATAAAAAGTGCCATAATGTCAGTGTAACAGCTTTCAGAGCATTTAGTAAGGATGCCACCTCACTAAATAGCAGTGAAAAGCAATTAAACAATGAAAAAGGTTAGTGTCTGTAAAGGTTCAGTAACAGTAATCCTGCATATTTACAGTAGACTTTTTGATAAAGGTAGGTTTTTACTTTATGGTAGGGCATTGCTAGGCTGTTTCTGTGGTATCCCAGGTGGTTGCTAAGGTGTTGCTAGGCTGTTTCTGTGGTATCCCAGGTGGTTGCTAAGGTGTTGCTAGGCTGTTTCTGTGGTATCCCAGGTGGTTGCTAAGGTGTTGCTAGGCTGTGTCTGTGGTATCCCAGGTGGTTGCTAAGGTGTTGCTAGGCTGTTTCTGTGGTATCCCAGGTGGTTGCTAAGGTGTTGCTAGGCTATTTCTGTGGTATCCCAGGTGGTTGCTAAGGTGTTGCTAGGCTGTTTCTATGGTGTCCCAGGTGGTTGCTAAGGTGTTGCTAGGCTGTTTCTGTGGTATCCCAGGTGGTTGCTAAGGTGTTGCTTTGTTAATTCCAGGTGGTTGTTAACATATTTCTAGGCCATTGTTATGTAATCCCAGGTGGTTGCTAAGATGTTGCTGTGGTATCCCAGGTGGTTGCTAAAGCGATGCTGAGCCATTGATATGGAATCACGTATGGTTGATAAGGTGTTGCTAGACTGTGTTATCCCAGGTGGTTGCTAAGGTGTTGCGAGTTTATGCTGTTGTGTCCCAGGTTGTTGCTAAGGTGTTGCTAGGCCATTTCTATGGAATCCCAGGTAGTTGCTGACATATTGCTAGACCATTGCTATGGATCTTTAGACCATTGCTAAGGCTATTTTATTGTGTCCCAGGTAGTAGCTAGGGCACTGCTAGGCCGTTGCTGTATTATTCCAGGTGGTTGTTAATTTATTGTTAGGTCGTTGCTGTGGAATCCCAGGTGGTTGCTAAGGTGTTGCTAGGTCATTACAGTGGTATCCCAGGTGGTGCTCAGGTGTAACCAAAAAACATATATGCGCTTCGTCCCAAAATCACAAGTACACTAATCCAGAATAGGCTTTACAGTCCTACAAAGTTTTGTGGTTCTAGCTTGAAAACTGTGACCTAGTTTCTGTGAGCCTATCTGGCGATAAGTCAATAGGCAGCAGTTTACAGGTAGTTATAAATTCACCCTTGATCTGTAAACCCATAGTAAATTATATGTACATACCTGCAAGTGGCAATCACAGGGGTCCAAGCACTATTGGCCACTAGGCCCCAGTTTGCAATTACATTACTGAACACTAAACTACTGCTTATGACCGGCTTGTCATATCGGTGCATCCATAATGTAATATAATTTGAATATTGATCTAGACTTATATGATATTATTTGTCCCTTTAAAATTGTTCATTCTCCAAAAAAGCTGAACCCAGTGTGGTGACACATCACTGCAGCACTAAAACTGTGACACTGCTGAAAGTGGAGCTCTTAATGTATATGAACATGTAATGAACGTGTAATGCAGCATGTAGTGGGTTCGCAGTGCAAATGAGAAATTTAGAAGTTTAGAGAAGATTTTAAAGTTCACCTGGAAGAGGTGTGTGTGTACGTCTGTGTGTGTGTACGTCTGTGTGTGTGTGCGTGTGTGTGTGTGTGTGTGTGTGTGTGTGTGTGTGTGTGTGTGTGTGTGTGTGTGTGTGTGTGTGTGTGTGTGTGTGTGTGTGTACGCACTTCAAGGTTTTTAAAACTGTATTGTGTGTTTCGTCTGTTTTGTCTTAAATCACTGCAGAGCTCAGAAGTAAGTTGCGTCTTCTATCTTTCCTTTCCATCAGCCTTTCTGTTCATTTTATTTAGTCTTATCTACCGATATCAAACCAACATAAAGAATGTTTGAAGCTGGATGCTGAACTCCAACCCCTGTTTTACACCCATAGAGTCAAATTCATTGGGTTTTTTGGTCACTCCTTATTAGACTGCTTCCACAGCATGGAAAAATCAGAGATAGCATCTTCTCAGCTTCAAATTCATCAGCCTTTTTCCGGCGCCCAGAGTCCATTCATCCACTCTGCACCTGATCTCCATCTGAGTCTGCACTGAGAACCAAGATACACTCCAGAAACCCCCAAATAACATCCAAAGACCTCAAAAAAACTCCAAAAGTTTTCAAAAAAATCTCCAAAAACCTCACAACATTCCCCAGAATTCTCCAAAAAAACTCCAGGATCCTCCAAAAATCTCCAGAAACCTCACAACATTCCCCAAAATTCTCCAAAAAAACTCCAGAATACTCCAAAAATCTCCACAATCCTCAAAAATGGTATATTGTCAAGTAAAAGTTTCTTAAATCTAGGCAACCATCTAGATGGTTGTGCACTTATTATAGGATTATTTAAATCTCACTATGTTGGCAGATAATGCTTGTTGTAAGAAATGAGCTTGAAACCAGCAAAATTATTTGCCAGTATAGTGAAATAATTTTACTGAATAAAACCACCTAAAACAGGTAAACAATTCCAGAATTAAGCTAGATGATCTTATAATAAGTGCACAACCATCTCAGAATGGACAATGTTAGATATTTCGACTAGATTTAAGATCATTTTACTTGACGAGATGAGTTTTTGCAGTGTAGATAGTAGACACTGAAAAATAGAGTACTATGTAGTTGTATGCAAAAGTTTGGGCACCCCTGGCCAAATAACGCAAGGAAAATTGCATTCAAAATGAAGGTTAACAGTAAACAGCAGATGATGATGGACCTAATTGCAGAGGACTGATCCATCCAGATTGTACTGAAGTACCTGGAACTGAGTGAATAGAACTCCCTGTAAAGGTTTATTGATCGTATGCTAGTGCTTTGGGGAAATTTAACCTGGTATCAGATCAGTACCTTCTTTATTATTCGATATTAGGAATGTTTTACCGTTCTCCTGTAAAGTTGCTGTTTTAGAGATACACGTTTTTTATAACTGCTACAATATTCCTGCTTTGGCTTCCAATAAAAAATCTAACTGGGTGGGAAATATAAAAACAAACTGATCGGATGGAATTTGTGGGGGAAAATATGATTGGCTGCTCAAATATAGTCTGTCGTCACTTGACATCTATTTTTTGAACTTTAATTAATGTCCATATTTGAGTTCTGAGCACAAATCTGATAAAAATGTTTACATTCAACAAACAAAATGGCTAAAAAGTGAGTTTTTTTCACTTAGTTGAACATAAAATGTGGTCTTTTGGTCATAAAACTACTGATAACACAATTTTACAATGTCGATAGTGAATCTGAATTTAATTGGGAATAAAAGTATAAAAATGGCATATAATCAAAAAATCCAAATGTGTCCTGTTAGAGGTGTGTCTACGGTCTAAGTCCCAAGTTTTTGGTGTTTTTCCTTATAATAATTGATGCAGCAAATCCAGCAAACGTGAACGCTTTACGTCCTTGTTCTTCAGTCAGTTCAGTGATTTTGGCCCAGAAAACTGCTGAGCGCACCACTCATCTATAATATATTCACCTGCACTTTTACATACCCCCATCCCCGGTCTAATGCTCACGAGCATAAATATTTATAAATACCTACACATGGAGTTGTTTTTTTAGATTTTATGCTCCTTTCTGGGGGAAAGCTGAGTGTATCTGTACGTCCAGTGCCAGAAAACATGGAGGTGAGGGTGCAGACAGAACCAGAGCAATTTTGGCCCTCCCCAAAATTGAGAATTCATCTGTAAACAAACA